GAAACATTTAGGTTACAAGCGCTTTGAAATACTGTACCTTCAGAACGGCATAGCTTTTACTTGTTGTGCTATCTTTCAAAACTATCGATCGATTCCAGCTCAAAAACTCTCAAAGCAGCGGTTTAAATGTTAAAGCCCGTGGCTGGTTTGTTTTCAAACGATTTAGGATAGATCGAATCGACTTTGGATCGATTATTATTTTATCAGCTTGTGGTATGAACGAAATGTTTTTCTTCTCGATAAAGTTCACTCAACAAATTTAGAAAGATTTACTTGACTTTTCATATGTGGAACGAACTGACTTTTTTGTGGAACGAACTGACTATTTTATGGAACGATCTGACTACTGATTGGACGATCTGACTTGGAACGATGTCAACGATCTGACCATGGAACGAAATGACCGGTTACCGTCATGCCCCTGGCAGACTACCGATGAACAAATTAAAATCTTTGTTACAGAAAACACGGAAAGTTACACTTTTTGTATGGAAGATTATTCGGAAAAATACACCATTGTCGTGTGAAATTCATTGTTACGTCAAAAATAGAAAAGGTTTACACTTAAACAGGTACAGAAGTAACTGTAACAGTGTGTGGTTTTTAGTTAAGGGGCAACTCCAAAACTAGTTCGTAAACGAGGGATCTGTCGTCTAAGCATCAGAGCAGAGGCGATTTAGGTGGAATGAGATATCCAAATAGGCTTCTAAGTAAGAATTTGCCTCTCTGTACATGTAATTTTCCATTTTATAGTGCTTAAAACAGTTTGAACCACCGGGTTAATTTTGGCCAATTTAAGCTTTGTACTGATATAGAGAAGAATCCAGGAACCTCAGTTTATGTAGATGCTACAAAAACAGTTAATGCTCCATACTGTCAAGGAAATGTTACAGGATTTGGGGAAAATGGTGGACAACGATGTGTCGCAATGAGTCTGTGCGCTTTAATTTACAATAAGATAACAAAGATTACTTCAGTTTATATGACTCAAATATTGATTGTTGGTATTCAATCATATTCTAGTCTGTCACTGCTTGCAAGACAATCTATGTTAAAGTTAACAGAATTGCCAGGAATGGTTACAGTGTTTGAGCAATTTTTCCACCTTGAATACAGTGACAGTTATACTTGTAACATCCTTCACTACTGTATATGCCACTCACAGGTTACAGCATTTGAAACACTCTTGGCACTGAAGAGGGTCGTGAAGGGGTAAAATGGGAACTGGGATTAGCCTTATTGTGGACTGGGAAAATGGGATTTACTCACTGGGACTGGGATTTAGCCACTGGGAATGGGATGAACAATTATAAAATGGGAATGGGATTTCTTTTCTTCAGCGGTCCTTGCTCCAATATTTTGAAATAGAAAAATAAAATTTCGTAGCAATAGACCTTGCACTCCTCAGTAGAGACCGTGAAATCAGTATTTTTCGCCTTCGCGCCCGCGGTCTAGCTACCAGGCTTACACGGTTGCATAGTTACGTTCTGTCAGTTTTCCTGGTCAGCGGACAAGTTCTGCAAGTTTGCATATGGCGGGAAGCAGGGGTTTTGTTTTTGTTAGTTCAATAACCACACAGCAGTTCAATAAGTACATAACAGATCAATAACCACACCAGTAGTTCAATGACCACACAACAGTTCATTGAGCGTAAACTACATGTAGCTGCGGGAAAATAGCCACAAATACGTTAGTTATTTTTAATAAGAATGTGTAGCATTAAGTAAGTGGTAAATACTCATTTAACTATGGTACGAGAACTAAACAGATAAATAGCTATGTTACACCATTACTAAGTTCTAGTGAGCTCACTAATATAGACAGGAACATAGACTGATGTTAATTTAAAAAAATTTTTTAGTCTCCTCAGAAGGTCTGTCATTCTCGTCAGGGGCACAGTGAACAGACCTGGAAAGAGAGTCAGCGCCGAAAAGGGAAAAAACCGACTCGGTCCGGAGAAAGCTTCAACTAGAAACCCGACAAAGCGCGCGTTGATAAAGCAGAAAAAAATAAATAAACAGTTAACGGTGGATGAAACCTTGTTTTTTTACTCTCTTTCCGCACGTTTCAAACCGTGGTACCACAGCTGGCCCTACGTGCCTGAGTCGACTACCATCAATCT